TTCGACCTTACTAACTGTCCTCCCTTCCAAAGGCAGCTCAAAATAGCCTGTAGTGAGCATGTCCCAAAGCGACTAGATATAAATACGCAAGCAGAATCTCTAGCAACACAAACAAATTACAGTGTTATTACAAATTACTATTTTTTGAACTTGCTCTTTGTAAATCGAACGAATAGCATTTCAGAAACGCGGAATATTTTGAGAACGTACCATGTAAATCACCGGCTTCAAACAGCGCATTGCGTAAAATAGTAATAATGATTCCAATATTCAATTTTTGTATTTCAAAAGACTAATTTATAAACGTGTTTCAAGTGAATGAAAAAAAAAGAATAGTGATTAACAGTGTAATGCTAGAATATTATATGCAAATTATGTCCAAATTATTATGTACATTTATTTAATTAGACCGCCCACCAGCTATTTTGGATTGTGAAGAACATAGGATATGCACCAGATCTCACAGCCCTTCATCGTCATTGCAAATTCCAAGCTGATCGGTTCAACAGCGTTGACTAAAATTTGACCTAAAACAGCGGAATAATTATACATTGTAATAATGAAGTGGGTTGCTTGCGCCATTTGCACTGACTTGTAATGGATAATGAATGATTTGACTTGTAATTATTCAATGAGCTATCACATTACACCTTTTGTATATAGTGCTGGATATATTACTATTGTGCACAATTGTATGGTCACATGACTATATATTCTAATTTAATAGTCACATCTCTAACCGTAATGTCACACGTTGTTGTCTGCAGCAGTGATTAGCAAATTTCAATTATGCATATTAATGAGATTACATGACTATATTGTTTCTATGGCATCATTGCAAGAGTGAATGAGATACTACTGCATATTAATGAGGTCACATGATACCATCATTTTTGCACTGGTAGCATATTCCTATAAGTTGCTGAGATATTAGTTTTGCATATTGATGAGGTATTGTGACCATATATGACCATCCGATTATTGGCCATATCTCTTGTTCGATTTCATCATCATGTTACTGGTTGCATGTTCCTATCTGCAACTGTGCTTGAGATTTTGCAGATATCATCTGTTATGTTAGACCTCAGTATTGTTGAGGGAGTGTGGTTAGTCATATTTCTTTTCAAATGTCTTCAATACAGTATTGACTGCATGACCTAATCTGTAACAATGCTAATGATAATATTATTGAACCTTGAAAGCCTAATAATAATAAACATAAAAGCAATATTAGTAGTTTAAGACACACTATAGGTACGACCATGAGGGCGATGTTCATCATCGGATGGGATGACGTCATACGGGGTGGGATGACGTCACAATGGGGATCCCTGCATAAATGATGACGTCACAATGGGGAATCGTGCATAAATTAGCACAAATGATCGTACAGAGTCGTGAAGGGGGTCATTTGAATGAGGATGACGTCACAATGGGATACTGTGAATACATAAAATAAATGTGAATACGAGGTCGTAACAAGTTCATCGCGAATTAAATTTGCATAAATTACCATCATTTTTTTGTAATTTTTTAAATTATTTTTTAATTGGACGAGCATTGACGTCACGAAAAAAATTCATAATGTATCGTAGAGAGCGCTCACACACACGTCCACACACACATACGCTAATAAATACACGTCATTTTGAAAACTAACGGAGCTTATTACACAAAAGAGGGGTAAAACTAGATCAGTTACATATTATATACATTATTTTTTTGAGTAATCAAAATCAAAGTAATCAAAAAAGAATGGATTAAAAAAAACTGAGTAATATAAGAATAAGAACAATTATATCAGTAGGGTAAAACTAACCTGTCTCACGACGGTCTAAGAATAAGAGTATTAATAAGAGTAATAATAATAAGAGTAGTATTAATAAACATGGAATTGAAATACATAGAATATACATTTTCAAACGCAGTTAAGTATTCACACTAAGTAATCAAAGTATACATTTGTTCTAACGCGATAAAGTTTCAATTATAATAAAGAAAGCGTGAAAAAAAAGAGTAACATCGAAAAGTAAATACACAATTTTCTAATCAGAATCAGATTCCCTCATATAATAAATGCGAGTAACATCGAATAAAGGCAATTGGCTTGAATGACACGACGCACCTGTGTACAGATGAATTCAGAGACGATTTTCTTCATAATCAGCTTATCCAATGGTTTCCTGTTGCCTGTGAAAAAATACCAAGAAAATATCTATATAAAATTTCACGCATAATAGTGTTGATCACTGGTAAACGTTTAGCAGATTGAAAATCCAAGCAACAATAGCCAACTATGAGCCAAACAATGTCAAAAGGCAATATTTACAAATCCGAGAACACACAGGGGACACACAAACAAAACAAACAACACACTGTCAAATCGGTGAGAGAGATACATGGACATCAAGGCACAAGCCAAGAGGTGATGTCAGGTGTTTCGAAAGAATGAGCAAATCCTGCTCCACATGTGGCACCCGCCATATATCTCTCTGAGACACAATCATGCATTTTAGGTCATCCCCGTGCAAGACAATTAAAATTCAGCGCTTCTATTATCATTTGTTTCATAGAAACATGATTGATACTTGTCCACCAGCTGATGATACTTGCCATAGAACTTTTTGAATGACAAGATCAGTCTTTCTCCTATAAACCCTTGACTTAATAGTTTAAAACAGAGAAGACGATGTTGTTGTTGTTGTTGTTGTTGTTGTTGTTTAAAAAAATCAGAATACATACTACATGCTCTGCCATAACGGATAAACTGAGATATGTAAACGCCATAAGCGGGGTGAAACAGGTATATTGCTGTTAATGTTTGGAAAATTGATGATAGTGAAAATAAAATCATCTCTTTTGTCATACAGTCTGATAGAAAGATGACCATTGTTGTCAAATTCGAGATAACATTGTCAGAAATTGACAATAGACTCTGGCCAAGTAGGGATTTCCTGTCCATCCCATTGCAGTGACTACAATTACATGCGAAATTCGAGACAACAGATGATATCATAGACTTTAAAGGTCTATTGTTTAGCCTAATAAGAGTTTATTGTTATGTTAAGTAGTTCACAGATGTGGGTTGGAAACATTAGTAAGTGAGGTAATCTTTCGTTTCCTTTGTTCTGTGCACACTTGTATTTGTTAGCTGATCATATGGAGCCATGTAATAAATGATTATGTTTGCCAGAGGACGAGATACTCTTTGGTACAGTCTTAATATGGCATTGAAAACAGCCATCTGTTATATACTTATAATCTTATGAATATCATTGTTGTCGTCAATGGCGATTGGTATGTAAATTCCTTTATAAAAAGGAAAAACTGCCATACAATATGTTGATCTTGTGGTCTGACCTTTAGCACCAAAATCAGTATGGTGATAGTGGTTCTAACCCTGGGTACAGTCCTGTAGGTTGGCCTCCTTCCGCTGATCATTCGGCCCCACAGTCCTGAGAAGTCGCATAGACCGGGAATTCAACACTATTGTGAAGGAAGGTATCGGGCGACTTAAAAGGCATTCAGCTTTGCAGTTAAAAAATAAGCAGGTCGATACGTCTAACTATTCTTAGCTGGAAGCGAAATTGCATAAGATTTCCCAGTAGGTTCAATCAAATCGACATTTTCCGACGTCAACCGAAAATATACGCCGCCATCTTGTTCTTGACTTATTTTTTAACAAAACGTTGTTTCGTTGAGTAAAACTAGCTTTCGCTAACGTTCCAGTACTGTAGGTTCATTTTCCGACCACAAAAAGGTATTTGTGATCGCTAGATTGGTCGATAGATGTTTTCACTGGTTACAATCATGAAAACTGCAGAATGGTTCTCCGCCATAAATGTGTAGGTGGGTGTCGAATTCTCGGTCTATGTGACTTCTCAGGACTGTGGGAGCCGAATGATGAGCAAAAGGAGGTCAACCTACAGGACTGTTCTCAGGGCTTTAGTGGTTCATGTTCGAAAAATGGCGTGGTTTCACATGAAATAACAGACATAATCTGAAATAAATCTTGATTCATGTAACTTCCTGTTGTTATTTGGATTAAAACAGTTATATTTGCTTACAACTGGATTGTACATCTGTGTAAAAAAATGCAAGAATTTCAACACTAATTAGGGCTGCGAATACTGCATCTACAACTGCGCCAACTGCGTCGCCATGTTCATTGAACCAGAAAGTATCCAGAACAAAGCAAACAAATTGAAGAGTTGCCTATGTTACGGCATTTTCCTATTTTTAACAATAGAGTCTAGCATACAAATACACATCGTCTATTGGTAATACACTGGGTAAGTGTAGAATTTTTCATCAGGTTTTACGACAAGTTGGGTATTTAATGGTAGAGCTTTAATGGAAGCATCTATAACATGTTTAATGCTTAGAACGTCACCTTTCTATTACAAAGCACACAAAAGTGAAACAATGACAAATATAAACTCAAAATTAAATTTTGTTCTAATATATGTTTATGCAATGCATTCTCTAGGGTAGAGGAGCACTGGCACCGGGCGGAAGTCGGCCATCTTGTCCACCCATTTCTGGCGATGATGTCAAGGTATGAGGCCGGGGAAGCTGATTCTGTAGTTTCTTTAATGTCTAGTTCTGTGGGAATCACAAAAATTTGAATTATTGATGGAAAGAACATCATCAATATATCTAAATGTAAAATTAAAAGATTTAGCTTCTTTAAATCTGAAGAAACTCGGTCTCATACGAGAATAAAAACAAGTCGGCCAACAAGGGAGCACAGTTGGTTCCCATTGGAATTCCAATAATTTGTTGAATACATGTCCTCCAAACTTAACAAATATATTATCTATCAAAAATTCAAGCGTGAGGACAATGTCTTCTTCACTGTAAAAAGTGGTGGCATTAGTTTCATTCTTGACGAAAAAAGTGGAATTTTAGTTTAGAACAATATATTTATATCGCCAAGAACCATTCTTATGAAAACATGCTTGATGAACAATATCTTATCAATCGTGATTTCAATTTACCATGTGGTATTGTAGTATATAACGTGGAAAAGTCGAATGTTTTAATGGACTTTATTTCAAATAAAGATCTAGATCTGAGGTTTTCCAAAAGTTCTTTAGAATTGTGCAATATCCACATGTGATTTACACCACTCCTGAAGAAGACAGTGTTACGGTACTTTAGAATTCCTTCTTTAATGACAGACAGTATTGTAGTTAATGTTTTAGACAATTCTTTAGTTGAACAATTAGAAGAACCGGCAATGAATCTGTCCTTGTATGGTGTTTTGTGTAGTTTTGGTATCCAATACAAGCGGGGCAAGTCATCATTCTTAACTCTGGCTGGTATTTTAAGAGAAACCATGAAAGACTTGTGATTCGCCAGGATTTCTTCCTCAGTAGGATTACCAGATGTATGGGTTAACCCTAGTTCCTGAATAAACCTTGTGTAGTAATACAACTTACAGGTAATAACAATGTTGTTGGAAGCTTTATCTGCAGGAACAACAACATACTTGTCATGGCAGAAAAAAAGATTTTAGCGCATTAGGATCTTTAAATACTGACTTAGGTTTCCTATTTACACAAGATTTTAATTTGTGAATGCATTTCAGTATCAAAGATCTAATCGACTTAACCCATTCAGAAAGACTGTCAAGCTCAACTTTTTCTCTTTTTGTCCACTTCATGCCATATTCTTCAACAGAGTCCACGATGATCTTAAAATTATGGCTCCAGTTGATGTGTTGGGCTTCTCTAAACTTGGGTCCATATGAAACTACCTTGCACAGATTTTCATGTTCAATAATGTTTAGATCGCCTGTCACAAAATGATCAGCAGGACCATATTTGAATTTAGAAAGAGAGAGTCACGAGGTTAATCAGCACGAACAATCCTGTCCGTGAAGAACACCACCCACCTTCCGTGATTGTGGGTTCTTTTTTTACCCATCACAAACAGGGCCACATGGGACCTCTCGATAAATAACCAGATTGGAATCGTAATATAGTAATTGCAGGGTATAACGTCACTCGCATGTAATGAAAACACAATATAAGTAAAAATTAATAGATTTAATATACTTAGCACGTACAATAAATAATTATCTCCAAACAATACAATCAATAATAATAACAAACATGACTACATCCTCTGGCATTCCCTACACTAATGTGAATGTGTGTATGAGTTACCGGTAACAAATGCCATGGTCTTTGTAGTCAGCCTGTGGTGGTATCAAATCGATGATTTCCTTGTCTTTAGTCAGCACGATATTCAGTGGCTTGGCATGTTTACATCACTATTAGTGGCTTCCATTATCGGCCTAGTAGAACTCTTTTGGTCAGTCCTCACGCAGCATGGCCAGAATCTCCTCACAACTTGCAGGGAGAAACCATAACCACAACCTGCTCACATCTCGGTCGCCAAGGGAAGACTGCCTCTACATGTGCTCTCCCAATTCCACTGGGGTTTCTCCAGGAGGAGTGCAGGAATGGGGACAAAGATTATTTCTATCCTTTGTTACAGTAGTCAGGTCAGTGACATCATGTCTCCACCTGGCAGTAATTCAGTCAAGTTAGTTTCCTATACAATTTGGCAATGATTCACAATTATGTTTTTCAGCAAAGTCAGCGATACTGTTTGGTAGTAATTTTCACGTTTTTGCAAATACGCCGTTTTCCATAAACACGCGTCTATAAACTACAATGTTCTGCCAGGAGCATGCCTAGGTGGCATCGTGACGTCCTGACCGCAAAGTGTACATATGCACAAAAATCTTCCTACCTGGCTGTATTAAACACACTGTCTAAAGGCTGGACATGTATAGATAAACAGAATAGACTAATTCTGATAGACTTTCTGACGAACCCTGTGACAGAGAGCAATCATAATCTAAAGGAATCTGAATGAAGTCAGTAATATTAAAGGACTGCAGTGCCTTAAGATATTTGAATATTCTAAATGATATGGTTTTAGTGTATCTGTAGGAAATAATTGGAACAGACAGCAGTCTCAAAAGTATAAGTGGGCAATCAGTTTGCAAACTCGCTAACGAATTGACTAACTGCTTAGATTTTGATAGTCGCGCCACTCTAGACGAATCTATATAATAGCAGAGCGAGCGGGATTATGTTTTTTGTCTTGTAAATCCCACCCCACTCTGGACGAATCTTTATATAACAGCAGGGGGAGAGGGGTCACACTTTCATCATGTAGTCGCGTTCACTCTGGACAAATCTATATAACAGCAGGGGCAAAGGGGTTAGAAATATGAGCAACGGATATTTTGAAATAAAACAAACATACCTGACAAAGCGATTTGTGGTAAAATTTCGTTGAAATCTCTGAACTGTTTCATGGTTAAGGATACACTGTGCTTGGTGGGGTAGCCATTATAGTACTCATGAAGATGCATGTAGGTACGCAGGCGAAACGAATTCACCGCTACGTACAAATTTTTGACAGGACATAACAGATAGGTGAACATGTTCTCACCTCTTGGAGCGATGGTGGGACTTTCAATAGCTGACGGGCGTGTTGTATCACTGTCAGATGATTTAGGTGTAGCTAGCGATTTCGCGACTTTGCATCTTTAATACGGCGAGTCGAATTTTTTAGAATCGCCAGGCTCGACTTGTGGTGTAGCAGTAGCCATACTTTGTTCTTATGTTGAAGGTACCACATCCTGTATGAGAGTGCTGGAGAAACCATTTAGGTATGACTGTAGCTGATTCAAAACTCTTCTCATTTTCAGACATATGGAAGAAAATTCAGATGATGGGTAACTGATTTTTTTTTTATTGTATTTATTTATAACCATTTACAATAACACAAGATAAAACATGGTTTTTTAACTTTGACCTACAGAGGGAGCAATACACAGCTTCAAACTTTGTCAGACCTAGAACATGAATGTAGTTTTATAAGCAGGTGTTTACTCGAATACTATACAAATAATTCGTTCGATATGCGTGTGAAGATTAGTAAATAATATGAATATGAATAATACAAATAATATAACGCTTATTTCTTCAGTGAAGACGACACACATGAGCGATCACCTACGAAAGATAGTATTTATTTATTTATTTATTTATTTATTTATTTATTTATTTATTTATTTATTTATTTATTTATTTATTTATTTATTTATTTATTTATTTATTTATTTATTTGTTTATTTATTTATTTATTTATTTAGTTATTTATTTAGTTATTTAGTTATTTAATATTTTTGAATTTTATTACAGTGATACTGACACGGATGATAGTAACGAGAATATCACCGGCAAGATTAATGTCAATCTTGTCAGTAAGGAAAACGTTTTGTCAAAAAGTTTAAGGTAAGTGGACTGGGTCGTAAAAGTTTTGTATCCAAAGCCAATACATTTGATGAAGTGCATAGTGTATTACACGCTGCCTTTCATCAACTGCTCAAACTGGTCCATAAACATACATGAATGTTGACAAGGTGATGTCCAAAGTGGAGAGGATTCTACAATCTTACCAAGATATTTCCCTTGAAGAAAACATCACCATCAGGACGGTTTCTGTTGATATGCCCCTTGGTGCCGGAAAAACACGTGGGTGGAAGTGACAGTTTGATACGAAAATTGCAGACAGGTTGAGAAATTCCAAATCTGTCATTGAAATCGTTTTCGATGACCAAATGTGTTGCGCTAGAGCGATCGTGGTCGCCATGGCACACGCCACAAAAGACGAGAATCCACCATCAATGTGGAATTCTATGAAGAGGAAAACGGTGAATTACTCTATTCAAACCGTCCGAGCTAGAGAACTTTTACGGTAGGCCAGAGTCGAACAGGGTCCATGTGGCATCTAAGAGAATTAAAAATTCCCGAGCATGTTACCTGATTTCAGAATACACGTATTGTCGCACGATTATTTTGACTCCATCATCTTTGTGGGTGATGCCGCAGAAGGTTCCAAAGACATATATCTGTTTCTGGAGGGCGAACATTTCAACGTCATCACAAAAATGACTGGTTTTCTATTGCATTGGGTGTGACATGTGTCCGACGGGGTGTTTGAGTTTACATGAGGGAAAAAATGCGGAAATTGTTACAGATTGTTCAAGAATGAAGAATGTTTCAAACAACATCAAAATTTAATTAAGTTAATGGGAAAAAAACTCTCTGCCAGTCAGTTCAACGTTGGCAACCTACAAACCCGAGACTGGAGAAGGAGGGTTGTTCATCGAGTACATCAACATGTTTCTGAAAATTAAACAAGAGTCTTCCTGTTATCCAGAGTGGTGTTCTACCGAGGAAGACTGAATCATCTATATCCAAAGGTACCGCAAAAGAGAAGGTATCGTCTTGGACAGAAGCAAGAAAACCACCAATCCAGGCCTCAGAGCTCTCGCCAAGCTCAATCTCAACTCGTTCTTGGGAAAGCTGGGACAGACATCAAACTTTGGACAGAGCATGTATGTAGAAACGGCCGCCAAACTGTTGGAAATGTTGATGGATAGTACAAAGGACGTCACAGATCTTTCTTTTGTCTCTGATGAAATGGTTCTTATCCAGCACTGCGATTACCGAAGCACCCAATACGAACGTTGTACTGGCTGCCATGACGACAAGCTATGCCCGACTTAAACTCTACAGTGTTCTGGAGAAATTCCCACCATTCATCCATTTGAACCTTGAACAATTACATTGACATGGGCTCTACCAAATCGGACGTGGTTTTATCACTCATCTATTCTGGCTTATGCACACTGCGAGAGGGGCGAGTTTGGTCGAGGCATGTCGAAAAATACTCGAGAAGGGGCGTCGCCCGACGTTTTGCACATGGACAGAGGAACTGAACTCACCAACAGACTTTTTCAAAACTACCTCAAGAGCGAAGACATTAAGTTCTTTACTACAGGCAATGAGACTAAAGCCAGCGTTGTGGAGAGGTACAACAGAACCATCAAGAGAAAAATGTTTAGAAAGAAAGAACAAAGAACAACACATCAACTTATCTGCCTGTGTTAGACGACATGGTACATTCTTACAACAATACCCATCACAAAAGTATATATACCAAACCCTCACTTGTCACCAACGCGAAACAGAAAAAAGTCAGAAACTTATTGTCCGGTGATCTAAGCACAGAAAAAAAGGGGAAGAAGAATACGAGTTATAAACTTGGTGACAGAGTCAGAACCAGTAGAACCAAACACGTTTTCAAAAAAGGATACTTGCCCAATTGGACCGAAAAGGTATTCACGGTTGTTGGGCGCCTCAACACGCATCCACTTGTTTACAACATTTCAGATTACAACGGTGAAATGTTAGAAGGTACTTTCTACAAAGACGACCTTCAGAAAATCGTAAAGGACGATGATGCAACGTACATTGTGGAGAAAGTGCTGTGCAATAGAAAACGTAAAGGCCGCGTGGAATATTTTGTTAAGTGGCGAGAGTATGACGATTCGTTTAATTCTTGGATCGGGGACTTGCAATGTTTATAAATACGGTTCACACACGATGACCCGATTCATTTCAAAGACCATCATGTCGGTCTGGATTTCTTTTTGATGCTCCCTAGTAATGCCTCGCTCCAGAACAATACATTGACAAAATACACTGTCAAACTACTGAGAACGCTTTCATTAGATGGCAATTTGGAAGTAGCGTTGGTCGATATCCACTACCCAAATTTGTGGTACAACATTGTACATAATGAAAATAGGATCTTTTACGATGCCTCACCCAATCTAAGAGATCACGGAGAACTGAAATTAAATCCGGGCTACAACAATTACAAATGAAAGACGCGCTAGTCTCTACTTTGCCGACATTAGAAGTTTGTATTCACTCTACGTGTATTGCAATATAGTCGAACACCAAATGGTCGGTGACGTCTCTGTACCTCTCTCTATCACACTTACAACAAACTGTACTTTCTCTTGATTCGAACGTCAACATTCGAGACTGTGGAGATTGATATAAGGTCTGATGCGGAGGAGAAGGTGCCATTTCAACGCTGATGTTTGATCGTAACGCTGAGTTTTCACAAAGCTCATCCTTGCTAGTGTGAAGAAAAGGAAATGAACATACATCGACCTTACACTCCTCACGTGGGGGTTTATAAAAATTACTACATAAATCAGATTTATGGTGCAAGACTGCAAAGCGGATATGGAATCGGAAGTATGTTTTTTGGATTGTCAAAATCGGCCGCACCTCTATTACCCCACAAGGTCTGAAAGCAGTGGCAAAACCAGCGCTTGATGTCGGTTTGGGTATTCTAGGTGACGTTGTACAAGGGAAAAACTTTAAGAACGCGGCTTCAACTAGAGCAAGGACTGCTGGTCGTCAAATTACTTCTTCAGTATTGAGCAATATATTTGGAAAACCCTCTCAAACAGGGCGAGGACGCACCATCAAAAGGAAGAAGACAACAACGAGACGTGTCATTTCTTCCAAGGCTAAGAAGAGGAGAATTTGACTGAACATCATGGCTATTGTACACGATCACTTCTGCGAATGCAAATATAGTCGAATACCTTCGTCCGGAAGTGACTACATCGATATTGCTTCCACGCTTTTGCATATCAAGGCTAAAATCACGAATGCCAATGGAGGTAATTTTGTAATTGACGTGTACCTGAATGGAAAGCAGATTTTGGACGCATCTCCCACCTATTCTTACAGAGCCATGATCGAAACGCTATTGAATTATGGAGGGGACGCCAAATCAACGCAGATCGGTGCAGCGATATTTGAGAAGGACACCACTGGAAAAATGAATTTCGCAAACCCGAGGGCCGCTGATGGTGACACTAACATGGGACTCAAACGCTGATACGTGTATACATCAATGTTAGAAGCGAGCAAGTTTCCGCAAAGCCATTGAAGATGGACTTCACAGCAGATGGTGGCAGAAGTTGCATCATGGCTTATGACACCCTGTTTACCTGTACAAATAAAATTGGTCAAGACCAAGGCAACGGCATCACTCGAGATGAATATCCTGAAGGGTACACAATCTTCGCATTTGACCTCACTCCCGACGAATTGGCCAGCAATTATCACTTCAATTTGATACTGGAAAGAAAGATTGGTCTTGAGATTCAGTTCAGACAAGCATTGACTAAAACTGTGTCCATTTTGATTTATGCTGAATATGACAACGCTATCGAGATTGACAGAATCAGAAACGCATTGACCGATTTCTAGCTGCGATGGACACGAATCAACTGGATCGTATTCTGTTGACTAATCCATACACTAGAAATGTGTTCTTCGGCGTTTATGCCTAAGCAAAAGGGTTGGAGTAT